AGTGGCTGCAACAATGGGCTTAAGCCTAACAATGATTGTGAGGATGGCACAGTACTGGGCACTGTTTCGTTCTGTTACACATAGGGTCACTATGAGTCAGAACCGACTCAAGGGCACCGAACAACAATCCCAGTTTGAAGAAGCTGACAATCTGGAGTGCCAATGGATGCATATTAAACAGCCCCAACAGGAGTCTGCTCCCTCTAGCCAAAGGACCAGAAAATAAATAGTCTAGCAAGACAGAAATCTTTCAGACAACAACTGCTCTACTCCAGCCAAATACCACAGAAGTAACTTTGGACCCACCCCAACTTGTGCTGCCAAAGGCCAAGTGGGAGCCTGTACTTCTACCCTCACGAGGCTGTAATGAAGAGTGGAGACAAAGAAGGCCAAGGAGGAATTCGGGACTTTCATCCACACTGGCAGTAATGAGGCTGCCCAGCTGCGGTGTCAGTGGAGACACCAGGAACTGATCCAGGGACGGATGGGAGTGAGCAGTCAAATGCGGCTGGGCCTCAGGTAGGAGGAGAGTGAGGAGAGCAGCAAGAGGCAGGGACAGGGACAGGGACGTGGAGCCGGGGGAAAGAACAAGGTCTCGCAACATTATACTGGGTCTACTCTAAATTCCAAAGGTAAAACATAGTTCCAATCCAGACTGCTTTTCCTTTTACTCTTAGAGGAGAAGTGGGAGATGGACTCCATAGCCACAGTTCTTACTCATTACTTTGGGGTCACACCCTAGAGAACTCACTTTACTTTCCAGTTCTTTCAGGTGCCACCACCATGGTGCTATCTGCCTCTGGAGGGTGTGACCCCGTTCATGTCCACCTCCTGGCCCTGAAGGGGTATCTCTGGTACCTTCCCCAATCTGAAGAGGGCAGGGCTTTTGACACGACAGTGGCGATACCTTTCACAGGAGGGTTATGGTCTTCCCTTTCTCCGCCCTCAGAATGTCCTGGGGGCTTCATCCTTTTCCTCTTAGAGTCTGCTTCACCTGAGTATTTAGACAGGTAAAAAAATTCAGTTATGAGCACAGCTACCACTGAATGAGGGCCTCACATGAGCCAGGCCCGCTACAGGCACCGTCAGGCACCCTCCAGCCTTGGGGTGGGGAAATGGGCCTGCAGAGAAGTCACCTGCCCTGGACAGGGCCTGTGGCAGAGCCCCGGTCGGCCTGATCCCGAAGCCTATGCTCTTTCCCTTACTTAGTTCAAAACACAGGCCTAGCAGGTTTTAAAAAACCTGTTGCTGTCCAGTCTATTCCAACTCATAGTGACCCTACAGGACAGGGTAGAACTGCCCCACAGAGTTTCCAAGAAGCAGTTGGTGCATTTGAACGGCTACCCTTTTGGTTAGCAGCTGAACACTTAACCACTGCACCACCAGGGCTCCTTAGCAGGTTTTATGTATCCCCAATTCATGGCTTTTCATTTGATTTTAACAAACCCCAGAGCATAAGCGAGCAACATACCTTCAGAATGCTTCCGTTTTCGTTTTCTGGCGCCTGCTTTTGTCTCTTCCTCCTTGGCAGAGTCTTCCTCCCGACCCCGGTCTCCGTTCACGCCCCCCTCTGTAGTGCACTCGCCTTTGCTCCTTTTCTTCTTGTCTCTCTTCCTAGCTGTGCCGTTGGCCTCGGGGGTCCCCGCACTGCCAGCCTCTGGCTCGGCCCCCTCCCCCTTTTTGCGCTTTTTAGGCTTCTGACTTCTAGAATTTTCCTGTTGGTTTTCTAATTTTAGTTCTTTCTTTTCTTTTTTCTTGTTCTTCTGCCGCTCTTCCTTCCTGTCTCTCTTATTCTTCTTCATCTCTGCCTGCTGATCCGGGGCTTTGCACGCACCGGCAGATGGAGCCTTGGTGGAGATTTCTGCACACGGATTGGCCCCCTGGTTGAGCGGCTGTTTATCTTGCCCCTCACTGACTGGTTCCTTATTATTAAGCAAAACCAAGAAACACATTAATACTTAGTTCAGCCACAGCTGTTCACATCATCGCATGTATCTACTGAGTAAATGGTTCAAGACAAATGGATTTATTACTTACCACTTTCTAAATTTTTAAACGTAGCAGTAAATATGCAAAATGGGAACAAACTCCCCCCAGCCCACGCTCCTCTCTGCTTTTAACAGAAGTTCTCTTTCTACTGGAAAAGTGAAGAATCCTTATGTCAATCAAGCTAGACCTTTAATTTTAACTCCCTATTCGCCTTTCTTTCAGATGAAAGAAGAACACTCAGATATGGTAGAAACCACTGGATTTATGCTCTGCAGACCTGGGTTCAAGTTCCGGCTCTGTTAATTACCAGCCACGTGACTTAGGGCAAGTTATTTATCTGCTCCAAACCTATTTCCTCATCTCTGCAATGAAAAGTAGTCGTACCTACCTTATACAGTTGATGCCAGAATAAAATGAGAAACGGCACAGCAGATGCCCAATAAACCAGCCCAATGGAGGTGGACAGTTTTGTGAACTATCAAGTACTAGACAAAGGCATTGTTGTCTCCATTATTCAGATGAGATGGTAACCCTCACAGGGACAGTCAGGGACACCATGGTGGGCAGTGTGAAATGGCAAGTAAGAAACCGCAGCATACTCAACAACTACAGGCACTGGAATGAGATATGCTCTCTGCTTTCTGCCTTTTTGTTGTTGAGTTGGCCCCCGACTCATGGTGACTCCACGTACAACAGAACAAAATGCTGCGTGCTACCCCCATGATCAGTTACGGATTGGACCTTTGTGATCCACAGGGGAATGATTTTTGGAAGTACACCGCCAGGCCTTTCTTCCTAGTCCATCTTAGTCTGGAAGCTTTGCTGAAACTTGTTCAACATCAGAGCAGCACGCAAGCCTCCACTAACAGATGGGTGGCGGCTGTGCGTGAGGTGCATTGGCCAGGAATTAAACCCGGGTCTCCCACATGGAATATGAGAGTTCTACCACTGAACCACCACTGCCCTCATTTACTGCCTTACTTTACTAAGATCAGCGCACAGATCCTACTTTCAAAAATGACGAGCAGAGGTCTCATCCCTTCGGGAGCAAGGGAGAATGAAGAGAACAGGATACAAGGAAAAGATTAGTCTGAAGGACTAATTGTCCACAGCTACCAAGGCCTCCACCAGGCTGAGTCCAGTACAGCTAGATGGTGCCCGGCTACCACCACTGACTGCTCTGACCAGGATCACAACAGAGGGTTCTGGACAGAGCTGGAGAAGGATGTAGAGCATAATTCTAACCCCCACGAAAAAAGACCAGATTTACTGGCCTAAAGGAGACTAGAGAAACCCCGAGAGTACGGCCCCCAGACACCCTTTTAGCTCAGTGGTGAAGTTACCTCCGAGGTTCACCGTTCAGCCTGGGAGTGGACAGCCCCGTAAAACCAAATGAGACTAACGAGGTACAGGAGTCCAGTGACAAGGTCCAGAAAGCAGAAGGGGAGAAGGAAGCTGGTGATAGGGAACCCAAGGTTGAGTAAGGATATTGTTGATGTGTTGTGAGATTGTTAACCATTGTCATACCGCAACATTTGTAGTAACTATTAAATGAGAAACTATTTTGTTCTGTAAGCCTTCATCTTAAGTGAGAATAACCCAGCACAATTCGAAGAGCGTAGTCAATGTCACTGAACCTTGCATGAAGAAATTTTTGAAATGTTGTACCTTTGGCTATGTGTATTTTCACCAAAAAAAAAAAAAGGTTGAGAAGTTAGAGGGTTGATATGTTGTGGGGTTGTTAACCAATGTCATAAAACAACATGTGTACTTCTGTTTCATGAGAAACTATTTGTTCTGTAAGCCTTCACCTGAAGTACAATAAAAACAAAAAGAAAAAGAAAAAAAATGACCAGCAGAGCTCAGTCCCACTCCCTGCTCAATTCTGGACTCAATATAGAGTCCCCATACCAATCCTTTCCAAGAGCAGACTTGGGACTGTTCTGTGAGCCCTAGTGCCCTGGACGGGGAGGGCAAGGAGGTCACTGGCAACAGCTCAGGGCCCCCTCAGTCCCTCTTACTCTCTTGGGAACTGTTTTTCCCCAAACTGGACAGATAAAGGACTGGCTTTCACTGGAGACCTCTGTGAAGGTACAGGAACTCTATGAAGGCAGCCTCACTCAGCACTGGCTGAAGCAGCAGCGTGGAGAAAGCAGATCTTAAAGGGAATGGCTGGCGATTTCTCTGTAGAGTTCAGGGACAGTACTTTTCCCAGGTGTGTGCACAGCGGGAAGAAAGCAGAGGATGAGCTGGAAGTAGACCACCAGGAGGGAGAAAGCGGCAAAGAAACTTCACAACTGCCCTACCATTCTGACTCAATAGCAATTAGTTTTTTTTTTAAATAACCATTGAGGGCCACAAACCTTAGTTTCCCTTCCTCCCAAGTCTCCAGTTGGTGGGTGGCCTCTACCTCTACCGGGGGGGAGGAAAAGCGTGAGGCACAGCAGTCACTCAGTCAATGAGGGAACAAATTCTTCCCCCACCTTCCTTCCACTTCACTCCAGGCTCTCCTCAGGCGCCTTCCCCAATGCCCGCGCTAACAGAGCAAGCTCCTTTACTCTTCATCGTCTTCTCCTGCTTCTACTTCCTCACAGCCCGGATCATGACCTGACATTACATTTGCCCGTGGCTGTCGTCTCCCCCACTAGATATGGCTCCATGAAGGCAGGACCCCCCAGAGACCAGGTACTATCTGAGATGGTTGTGGTATACATTACAGTAAAAACCCAAAACCAAACCCGTCGCCATTGAGTCGGTTCTGACTCATAGCAACCCTATGGGACAGAGTACAACTGCCCCGTAGGGTTTCCAAGGAGCGGCTGGTGGATTCGAACTGCTGACCTTCTGGTTAACAGCTGAGCTCTTAACCACTGCACCACCAGGGTTCCTATATTACAGCAGAGAACAGAACAGCCTCCACCTGAGGCCTGGCCCACAGTTGTGGGGGTGAATATGTGTAGTACAAGTGGGCGGGGCCTCAAGGCCTTGGCTCCACACTACAAACATGAGGACTGTGCTGGGCAAAGGCGAAGCAGGAATGAGCCACCTTTCAGACTTCACACAGCTCAGAGAACCACAAACTCTTTGTTGACTGATTCATTTAATCCTACCTATGTTCACAGCTCAAAAGGGAAACTGGAAAAACCTTTTTAAAAAAAATCCTGCAGCATGAACCAAGAGCAATTTCAAATCTTCAATTCTTAATTAAACAATGGAAATAACCTTTAAAAATAGATGCCAAGTAAAGGCCAATTAAATGACTGACTACAAGGTTTACAAATCTGTATATTCAGACAGAGACAAATGCTAGATATATTGCCAAGATAGTTTCATTTTGATCCTAATTTGCTGCCAAAACAATTCTTTCTATAAATCAACTTCTGCCAATATGACTAGAATAGATGGTCAGTCAAAACCCCAGTTTTGAAACTACTAATGATACCAAAAAAATCCAAAACCAAAAACAAAACAAAACTAATTGCCATGGAGTTGATCCTGACTCATGGCGACCCCATGTGTGTCAGAGTAGAACAGTGTGCCATTGTGTTTTCAATGGCTGATTTTTCAGAAGTAGATCACAAGGCCTTTCCTCCAAGGCAGCTCTGGGTACACTTGAACCTCCAACTTTCTGGTTAGCAGTCAAGCAAGTGCCTTAATCATTTGCGCCACCCAGAGATTCCCTACTAATGATACAAGCAGGGCTTTGAACCGGTTTGAACTGGTTCAGTCATGGCCAACGAAGTGAAATCAGAACAGACCTGAATTTTTAAAATCTGGTTGAAGCGGAACAGGAAAAATTATAGGTCGAAGTCTTGGAATGGGAGACTCGGAAGAGGCATAGCAAGCTCTTTCAGGAGCCTGATGTGGGAGACTGGATTATTGCCAGGACTGTGGAAAGCAAAATACATTGAAAGCGGTGCAGTCAGCCACCATCTTTGAGCAGGGCACCACTGTTTCTGACTCTGCCGATCAAAAGATTTGGTTGTTATGCAACATGCACACTGCCCTTGTTTTCTAAGAGGGAGATTTAAGTTTCTAGCAGAGCTTTAACCCATGATGTTTCCCATTCTGCTTCACTCACATTTAAAAAATTCAGGTCTGTTTGGGTTTCACTTCATCGGCCATGACTGAACTGGGCAGAACCAGTTTGAAGCCCTGGATACAAGTCTCCAAATACCAAGTGTAATGGAACTAGTAGGAAAGTTTCTTTAGTTAACAATGTAACCAACAATATGGCTGAAAGATATTAAACCTAGACTTCTAGTATGTATGTTTCCCACTTGTATTTTTCTCACTATCAAACTATTTTGACTGACTGGCAGTTGACTTCCAACTCTCAAATGGAATTCTCCCTCCATCAGAAGGAAGGACACTGCTGTTTATCAAGTGCACACTAAGTGCTGGGTATTAGGGTGGGTGCTTTCAGATCTTCATGTGCTTTAGCACTTACTAGTTAACGCGCTCGGCTGCTAACCAAAAGGTTGGAGGTTCAAGTCCACCCAAAAGTGCCTCCAAAGAAAGGCCTGGAGATCTACTTCCAAAAAATCACCCACCGAAAACAGTTTTACTCTGACACACATGGGGTCACTATGAGTCAGAATCATCTTGACAGAAACTGGTTTTTACATGTAAAGACCTCCTGTGTCCCTGTTACCCATTATCTAAGAGAGTACCTAGTTGCTCTCTATCCCTCACCCTGTCTTCACAGCACTATCACCACCCACAGATCAGGCACTCAGTAAATATTGAACATTGTTGTTGCTGTCAGTTGCCGTTGAATCGATTTTGACTCATGGCGACCACGTGTGCAGAGTAGAACTGCTCCATAGGGTTTTCAAGGCTATGACTTTTTAGAAGCAGATCATCAGGCCTGTCTTCCAAGGAGCCTATGGATGGATTCGAACTGTCAACCTTTCAGCTAGTAGTTGAGTGCTTAACCAATTCAGCAACCCAGCTGCCTAAATACTGAATAAGTAAATGAGTATCACTATCTACCTTTTTTTTTTTTTTTTTTTTAAGATAAGGAAACGGAAGCTCAGAGAGGTTAAATAACGTGCCCAAGGTAAAATATTGGCAAACAGCACAGCAGGGATTCAAACCAGGTCTGTCAGAACCCCACAGCACCTGTTCTCCCCAGGGTGCCCCGCTGCCTGGGGTCTGAGGCAATCATGACATGCTCGCTGGAACCTCATCAAATATCGGGGTTAAATACCTTTCTCTGCACAATAGGGAACTCTTCTCTGCAGTGCTTTCAGTTTATTCCTTCCCATAAATGAAGGCACAAAGAGGCTCTCTGAAAAAGAAGGCTGTCTTGACCTCCAAAAATAAGACATTCCCATTTCATTATTACTCATCAGTTTTGCCACACAACAAATCAAAAACTAGAGCCAACTTACATTCCTGGAAGCTTCAGAAAAGATACTCCACACCTGCTCCAGGATCGACTCATTGTGAATTTTTAAGCTGTTCTTCATCCAATTCTGTAAGAAACAACAAAAAAACATCACAAACCACTTTCCCCATCTCCACAGTCGGGTGCCTACTCAACCACTGACAGACTGCACGTCTCCACTGACAGCAAAAACATACCTGAAATTTTGCCCTTTTCCTTGGAATGTTGTCAAAACCACTAATTTGTTCTAAAAGTTCTCTCACTTTGGGGCTGACGTTGGGTTTTTTAATTAATTCATTGATTTTCTACAAAAAGGAGAAAACAAAAACAGTAAACGACTGGCACTCCACTTTCATGAAAGCCAAACTAGAAAGTCCTGCCATGGCCAGAAGGTTCACATTTCAAGCCCGGACTTTGTAATTATGTCTGTGTTCAAAAATATACAGATTAACAATATGACAAATGCCTCTTGGTGTTGCTTTAAGTGGAAGTTATTAAATCAAAGTAGGGTGATTCAGTTAAAATAGTTCCAGACAATAAAAATAATAACATAAATAACATCAAAAAAACCCTAATATTAAACCTTAAGCCAAAAATATCCCCCGAAGTCATCTTAAAACTAGACAATACTTTAGCTTAACTGGTAAAAAATGTCTGCCTTGAGCATTATGCTCTGTTAAGAACTACCTATATGGGATCAAATTGACAACAGCAACCGGAAAGACTACATAGTAACCTTAGGGGGCAGTGAGTTTATGTTAATGGAGGAGGAGCAACTCAGAAAAGGAGGGTGAGAATGGCTGCACAACTGGAAGAATATAATCAATGTCACTGAATTGTACATGGAGAAACTGCTGAATTGGTGTATGTTTTGCTGTGTATATTCTCAATAATAATAAATACAAAAATTCAAATTCCAGAAACGAAAAATCACTATATTAAATAGAACTTGCTCTTCTGTAGACGGCAACATTCTGAAAGTTGCACCTCTTGATTAAGGACTTCATTGCTTTTGCCATTGCTATTTTGTGCCTGTTTTCATTTTATTTTAGTTACATAGAAAATTCCTTATATTTTTGAAGCTATCTTTATTTTGGCCAATTCTGATGACTGATAAAGACATGATCAATTAATGTGGTCTGAATAATGAACGTTTCATTATTACTAGAAGCAAAGATTAGAAAGCTTCCGTTCAGTTTCCTAGCCAAGAGAAAGACAGTGACGACGTTTGCAAAAAATCTGAAGAACACATGGATCAAAGACAAACTGCAAGTGTCTCAACAGTTAGAGAAGTAATGGACTTTTTTTTTTTTT